TGCTGTGGGCGATGCCCATGCATGCATGATGTCGCAAGACGCGCAGGGCATCAGCTCTTCCATCAACGAGGAGACGTTCGCTTTCACGATCCAGTCTTTGGTGGGGACGTTCGCTTTCACGAACCTGGCATCGCAGAAATGCGTCATGTGGGGCTACCCTTACCTCGGCCGACAAAGACTTCGCCCTCCACAACGTGCAGGCGAAGATCTATCAGGCCATTCAGAGGAGGGGAAGACGTGGGCTCCCCCTGACACACATGCAGGCACACCTGCAGAAGAAAATTGTATTGTTGAGAAGGTTGTTAGGTTTACTTCGAGCAGCAGTTCTGCAGCGCAGCACGGCACTGGCATCTGGGCCCCCCCATCAGGCGGGTGGGGTTCGTCAAGCGAGTGACGGGGGCAGGCGCGCGCCACGGCCACTCGCGCTTGCATGGACAGGCCGACCACTCAGGTGCTGTCAGCAAACGCGGGGGAACCTGCAGTCTTTTCCCAGGCAACGGCTGCGTGCGCCAGGGGCCGCGGCAAGCCCGGCTGCGCGGCTGCCGCAGACAGCGGTGGAACTGGCTGTGTGGCCTCTGCAGAAAAAGGAAGGATTGTCGCATCATTATCATTCTCGTGCATGCGTTATTGAAGATATACGAACAGCTTACGCTGAACTCCGAGCCCGTGGATACATGTGCGACCGTATCACACATGCAGAGGTGGTGACCTCCACTGGTACACAGCATCTGGGTGCGCTACCTTCGGGCGATTACCAACTGTTGTGGGTCGCAACACCTGCCGACTGGCATGTGGGATTGCTTGGTAAACGGGCAGGGCCACATTGCCAGCGTATCCAAAATCTGATGTCAAAGGCTCGTGCTGTACGCATGACTATTGTACTGGTGGGGCTTCCAGGGCACTCCTGGAGACAAGGTCCCATACGAGATGTGATTGAAGATCTTGATATACAAGTCATGCGCATGAGGTTCTGCCATTTCGGCCTCAAGTGCGATCGCGCGAACAAATTGCCTAGCGGATCAGATCTGCAAGTGGCAACTACGTGCATGCGCATCTCCACCAACTTATGGAGATGCACATGCAACAGAGCAGGGCAACCTACAGATCCTACTGAGCATTCTCTGGACGTGTATGGGCAAGGTGCTCAGAAAGCCGAATGGCGGAATGAGACATAAGGGGTCATGACCGTAAGGTTGATCGACCAAATGGACTTAAGACGCAAAGAGACCATGCAAGTGTTGTACATTTGAGTATTCATGCTCGCGTGGATAAAGGAGTTCGATCTTACGTTCAGTCTCTTATGAATGGCCCTGAATGGGACCATGTCGTGAGACGGGTGACTAGGAAACTGGGCGGCAACGAGATCATCCAGGACGTCAAGATCCAAGACCAGCCGTCTGGGTACACCTTCAACGCACCAGTACTGGATGGGGTCACTAACGTCCGTGCTCGACTGTACTGGGTGCAGTTGGAACCAACCCTTCTTGGAGACGGCAGCTCACGACCACGCTCAAGGCGAGTGGCGATCATCGATGACGATCGTCTTCCTCCCCCTTCGATTGTGCGCGGCAGCGTGCCATCCTCTATTCCACAATGTCCGACACTTAGCTTACCAGAAACAGAAAACAGACAGCCTTACCAACAGACTGCATAACTAAACAAAAGAGAAACAATCGGCAGACACAGAAGCTGGCATCAAACCACGCAAGATACCCAAACTAGTCGAAGAAGGCACCGACGATTGTGGAGACGACCTCAATAGACCCGGGTGTAGCTCGTACTACACCGGCGTACCTTTGGACTCCGACACGGATAGCAACGGTGAAGAGGAGACTTTCATCTCCCAACCTGCGGGGCAACCTGCTGAATTTTTACTCATATGTATTCTCCACAATCCCCACCCTGTGTTATGGGCGACACAGCAAGGTAGATATGTTAGAACTATGTGGAGGAATCGGAGGCATCTCTCAGTTAGCATTCAGCCGAGGTGTGTCTTCAGGGGGAGACCTCGACACACGTGCTTTCGTTGATCTTGGAGAAAAGGAGGCCCAAGATGCAGGGATGCACTCCTTAGACGCTTGCTTCGTTAAGGTTGTCATACTACAAACCAGCTGCCGAACGACTGGCTTGCCCTCCTACTTCAATGCCAAGGTTAACTACGACACCTGGCATGAACATCCTAAGGAGGATTTACCAGGCATCAAGCTTTGTGGGGAAGTAGCTGCACGTCAAACTTGTCTTCGGCGATTCTACTTACGAGAACAACCAGTTGGGACTTGGGTGGACCAGATACCGCCATGGATTACGTTGGCCAACAGCAAGGGCACTTGCAAGGTACATATGGACCAATGTACTACAGGCCTACGTGATTCCCATGGGGTACTAATACGAAAACCGACTGAGATCATGGTTAACCATTATCTCATTACTACGCCTTTTGAACGAAAGCGATGTGATGGCCATCATCCACATGCGTCGGCGTGTAATGCAGAACTGTCTACGGCTGCACAGTTTACACCAAAGATGCAGTCGCTCTTTATTGAAGCTCTTCAGATCGCACACAACCTTCCCCAAACAACTCGTGACCCTTTCCAAGGTTTCCCATCGTCGTCTGCCGTATTGGCGACCAACGTAAGGGGGTGCGATCTGGGCGATCCGAGTCTCCCCCGACAACCGGGCGACTCGATTACGAGACCACGGTCGGGAGGACTCGGCTGTCCTGCCTGAACGGATAACGTGAAAAATGCATTCTCCATCACATTATCAGAATCCGAGACAGTGCAGATGGCACGACAAGGATGAGTATCATTGGGAGTGTCCGAGTTGCAAGCATAACTACGGGAAGAACAAACCTGGGCGCGCACTGACACCCGGCAAATGCAAGTTTGCAAGTCCTTGGGGGCCTCCCGACAATCATGGACAGATTCCGCCGGTTCCTGTCGGACAGGCAGCAGGACCTGCAGCGACAGATCCTGCTGAAGTTGCAACACCTCCACCTGAGGCACCAGCGGCACCAGCACTTGCGCGACCGAGAGCGCCTAGACCTGGCCTGAGAGCTGGATCTACGCAAGCGCAATCAGTCACGACATTACTGTCGGAACACGCTGCTGAGCCTGTTGCAGGGCAACCTGCCTTAAGCGGAGCCGGCAGTTCGGATGGCCACCTCCGACTGCCACAGGTTAGAGTCAGACGTGGTCGACAGCAATGTGGAAAAGCGCCTCCACCACCACCAACAGGGAACCCTGCTGCACGACCACGACTACCAGACTGGCCACGGTTCGATGTACAAATCAGTCTGCAAAATTTACGAAACCATGACCCCAGCGTGGGGACGCGCGAGCTGCGAAAGCTACATTTACGCTGGTTCCATGCGAAAGAACCTAAGACGATATTCGTCTTAAGCAACATAGATCTGGACAGTGTTAGACTCAACCTCCTCAAGGGCGTTTGTGACACATGCCGAGAATGCAGAGCTTGGGACAAACATGGACACGCAAAAGGGAGCATTGACAGAGAAATGCTCCTACAAGTCATGGGAGGAATACAGACCTTCAAACACGACCTGAAGAGAAATGCGCCATATCGGGCCGGCCAGACATCAAGTTCCGACGCCGCCTGATGCGTGTGCCTTACATTCGCGAGGCAACTCGCTGACGGGCCCAACGCCTTCGGGTCCGTATCCTTTCCTGTTTTTGTATAGGTTCGCTTCTGACTTGTTCTCGCTTTACAGGTGGCGGGCGCACGCTTCGTCGCCCTCCCCCCCCCCGACTCTAAAAGGGGCGGAAGCGAGCGTGCGCCCGCGGCCATCTTGGCTCAAGCCGCCGGCCGCCTGAATTCGACTGCGCCTCATCGCGAGGCACACTATCGCTATCGATACTAAAAGGCATCCCCTTTTACTTGACATGGCTTCCCCTCTTGCAATGGGACTATCGCTACTACGATACAACCGAGCTGGAGCTTGGCTTCGCCTGAGGCGAAGCTGCTGGCGGGGCCTCCAAGCCCCCGCCAAACTATCTCTAGCGTCTCGAATCGCTCTCGGACCGTTTCGGACCATGTGGAGCTCTCTTGGAGGCCACTTGAAGCGATCCTGGAGCGCTCTTGGGAGCCTGCTGGGACCTGGCCAGGACCTGCCCGGGACCTGCCCGGGGCCTGCCCGGGACGTGGCCGGGACTTGCGGGGGCTTTTTCGTCCAGGGACCCCCAAGGGGCGGCCCCGCACGGGCAAACTAGAAATATTGTTAACCAGTTGCCGGAGATTTTGGCGCGCCCTTGGCCCGCTGCGCTGGCGAATGTGTTGCAACGCGCGCTGTAAATAAACAGCAAGACGTGCGACGAATATTCATTCATACTGCAGGCACGCGCGCGGCACGCATTCGAACATGAATCGATCCTACGAGCCAGAGAGAAAAAATTGGAGATGAATCAACGCATCAACTTCCAGAGTTAGAAAATAATTTTGACTCGTAGAACAGTCCGAGTCCCAATGACAAGAGGTTTGCCAGGGCCAAAGAGAAATATCGAGTTCGAGAGGAACTTGCGTATGAAATTCCAGAGTCAGAAAGGATTTGGAATCGCAGAGGGATGTTTGTTTTCTCTTCTACTCAATATTGTGTTTTTCTCAATATATCGTCGGAAATTTCATGGCACATGTCTCTCCTACTCAATATTTCTGACTGGTCCTGGCATCCTCTGTGAGTCCACTTCCGAAGTGATCCGGAATCCTCATTTCATTCTCGGTAATTCGAATGGCTCTCCCACTCCAACTCAGTAGTTCTCGCTGGCCTTCGTGATCTTCCGGTAATTCTGAGGCAAATCCCTCGACGATTCGAAGTCGATTCTTCTTACAGTTATAGCATTTGCTGCAGGGCGATTTCACACATACATGGCATGTTTTTGTGTGTGGTACGTTTTCTGATCGCGCCTGCATTTCTTGCATGCGCAGTTCGATGACTTTTGCATTGCCAATGCGCTGTTCGGGTCCCTAGATGCCCTGCTACCAAGGAGCCGCAGAAGAAGGAGCTGGCCAAGCGCATCGAGGGCGTCCCCGAGGACCCGGCGCGGGGAGAAGAGATCCGCACGGCCTCCACGGGGAGGGCCACCGCTAGCGGGCGCTGGGGCTCCCCACTGGGCCGCTGCCCCTGCGCGAGCTGAGCCAGCACGGGCCGTCGGGGCGTCTCGGTGGCTTCCTCGGGAGCCGTGGGACCGGGGTCAATGCAAACGGGGGTCCGCCAGAGCGCGAGATCTTGCACGATCCTGCAGAGCCGGGGTTGCATTGATCCGGGCCTGCGTGCAGGATCCTGCAAGGCCGGACTGGCCCGGGCTTGGATTATCTCAGGTCAGTCGATCCCCGGCCTCGCGCGCTGCGTGTTGGTAGCTCTCTCTGGGGGGCCCCGGGCGGTGCGGTGACCACTCCGTGAGATGAGCTCTTGGAGCCTCTCTTCGGATGCAACTCCTGGGAGGTCAATTTCAGATTTTGCCCTGGTCCGACATCCCGTTGAATACGTCTTAATCCCGTCTAATCCGGCAGAATCCCGCTTAATCCGGATTAATCCTGCTTATTCCGAGGCCCCTTCCAGCGTAGCAGCCCCCCACTGGGGCTTCATCTTCATTATTCTTTACGACGAAGACCTCCCAGTAGTTACCACTTAACCTCTCGCCCCCCGCCCTCCTGTCCCCCACCCCTCCCCCCCGCCGCCGCCGCCGTCGTGGCGATTCAGAGGGGCGCCCTTTTGCCAGGACTTCGATTAGTGAATCGGCAGTCTTCGGTTCGCGAGAGGGCGTCGCGGCCGTTATTTTTGCTGGTCCAGGTCCGTCGGTTTCGGTCCGAGGCCGTTTTCACTAAAGAGTGGTTTACTAAAGGGAGGTTTGTCCACCGCCGAGGGTTCCTCAGAGCGTGAATGACCTACCCCGCTTTCGCTCCCAGGCAACACCAAGCCATACCATGCGCCTCCTCGTCAAGCGGCCTGACCAGTGCAGGCCGTAGCGTGGCATCGCTTGGTGTCTCTTGGAAGCGAGGGTGGTCAAAAGCGAGGCAGGTTTGTGCTCCCCTCAGTTCCGGAACACCCCCCCCCGACGCCCCGAGTGGACCCCCTAGCAGGGAGCGTGTCTTTGTGTGTCTCTCCCAGTTTCATGCGCTCGTGGCATGCCCGGCGCCCTGCCGCTTCTCGGGCAGGGACCGAGGCGGTCCAGCCGGGGGTGGGCAGGGCCCCCAACAGCGACACGTCGATTACTCCAGATTTCGTAAGAAAGGGAGGGGGGTGTTTCATTTCGGGGGGGGGTCTCTTCCAGGCTATCTTGGAGGGCCTGGGGGGTCTGGGGACGATGTTTTGGAGGGTTCTACCACGGGGGAGGTCTGAAATGGCTTGTCTTGGAGGGTCCAGACCCCCTCCCTTTTATTACGAAATCTGGAGTAGTGAATTGGCCGTTTTCGGTTCTCGAGAGGGCGCCGGGGCCGTTATTTCGCAGGCCTGCGCCCGCCAGGTTTGGGCCTCAGGTCGTTTTCACTAAAAACCACGTTTTGCTAAAGGGGGTCTGTCCATCCCCGGTTCAGCTCACCACGAAGACGGTTCAAGAATGCCCACAGAGAGCTCCCACGCGGTGCAGAACACACCGTCATTGCGGCCCTAGTGACGCCCAAAAGAGCAGAAGACGGCCCCAGGATACCCCCACGAAAGGACCCAAGGAGGACGATACCGCCAGAAAAAAACCCAATGGGCTCCCAGGAAGCTCCCCAGACGCCCCCCCAGATGGTTCCCACGGGCTCCGATGCGTCCCGCGGCGCTCCCAGACGGGCCCGCGACCGCCCTGAACCACGACGGCGCCCCCCAAGAGGCTCCACGCGCCTGGGAGAGAAAAGCAGTGTTTTCGGGATACCAGTCCCGCAGTATTCTGGGACGCTCGCATTGCCCACGGACACCAGCTTCGGAGTCGACTACCAACTGAGCGAGCGCGAACAAGCGCGCGGGTGGTTCTAGTATGTATGTAGATGTATATGAAAATATATTGTGTGTGAAGACGAAGGAGATTACTAATTGTAATAATATTAATGATAATAATAAGAAGAAGAACAAACAAACAAACAAAACACGAAAACAACAGAAAACAACAAGAACACGCAAAACAACAAAAAAAAACGGGGAGCGCCCCCCGCCTCTGGGGCCACCTCCCGGCACCGCGCCCCCGGGTCCCCCAGGGAAGCCCCGAGACGCCCCTGCATGACGGCCCCAGACGCTCCCAGGCAGCCCTAAGCAGAGCTCCGACGGCTCTCCTGGCTCCAAGGAGGCCTCCAAGAGGCCCCAGCAGAGCTCCGAGACGCGTCCAGGGAGCGCCCGAAGACGTCCAGACCGTTGATGTTCGTTGGTGTTGCTCCCGGTTTTTACCCTTCCAATGATCTCCAAGACGGCCTACACAGGCCCCCAAGACCGCGTCAAGACCGCCCGAGAACCCCCGGGACGGGGTCCGGCAGGGAACGGGTCCTGAAGGCCCTCGGCCCACCCCCCCCCCGCCCCGGACAAGCGCCTCGTCCCCATCGCTCTGCAGACTGTTACGGAGGCCCGTGGAGGGCCCCGCCCCTGGGGGCCCAAAAGAGCTCAGGAGGAAAATATCAACCACAGACACACATAATCGTGGATGCTTGGGGACATATAGAGAATGTTGGATGTGGAGGAGGAGACGAGCATCCAGAAAATAGGGGTTGTGACTGGCGAACTATCCGACCACGTCGCCGAATGAAGCGCAAAGCGTGCTGCACAGTAAGCCACCCACTGAGCTTGCCGAGCGACAGTACCAGCAGGTTTAAGTAGTACGCCGCCCATTCATGCAGAGGACGAGCACAGGCAGTTCCAGAAACACGAGGGCATTACTTTAAATGAATCGGGGGTGGACAGACCTCCTACCCTGACACGTCGATTAGCGAATTGGCCGTTTTCGGTTCGCGAGAGGGCGTCGCGGCCTTCATTTTTGCGGGTCCAGGTCCGTCGGTTTCGGTCCCAGGCTGTTTTCACTAAGGGGAGGTTTACTAAAGGGAGGTTTGTCCATCGCCGAATGAATATGTTCAAGCAGCACTGAGCGCAGAAAGTATCCCAGGCTGAATGTCCTGTGCGATTCGCCAGCCATGCCTGAGCGAGGTCAGCAACGATTGGCATACAGAAAAGCCCAATACACAACGCAGAATAAAGCAAAGGAGCAATACTGCGAGTCGAGGTGAAACACGGTAGCTACCACGCAGCTGCGCCGTCATGCGACTTTTCCAATTGAACAAAACGGGATCGACCGGGTACCGCCGTGGTCCTACGCACGATGATCGTGAAAAATAATTGCCAGCCTTGGCCCAAGCACACCATCAGCTGATCCACTGTGCCACTTCAAGGGAGGGCGCGCCAACGGACCACTGTGATTGAGCCACGCACCGATATAACTAGTTGCCACTGCCTGCCTCGCACGTGCTGATCCAGGCAACGTAGCTGATAACATTCGGTGCCAGCTTCGCCTCCCGTACCGAGCCACGCACCGACTGGAGTAGCTGTCATTGTTCGCCCTTCTCACACGTGCTGAGCCAAGCATCGGAGCTGATGACGATCGGCTCGAATTTCGCCTCCCGCACTGACTTCTTCGATGACTGCACCAGCTGCCAGTGCCATGACGCTGCGGCCAAAGCTCGCGGCCACTGCCCAGCCCTCGATGCACTGGCCCAATGCGGCACTGAACCTGAGAACGCGCAGATGGGCAATGCTGGCGGCAACTGCCCAGCCATTGGTGCACGGGCCCATTGCGACACCGAAGCGCGAAACGCGCCGACGGGCCGCGCAGCAAAGCGGCGGCGCAACCAGTGTGGCCTCGCAGTACCTGGCATTCCGACTTCCATCTTCCGGGATTCAGGTGATACGGCCTCATTCAGGCGTTGCGTAACGGGGGGGGGGCGACACATGGGGTGGTAGGGCGGAAAGGGGGGCTTTTCTTGTGCCTTGCTGAAGGGGCCCTGGAGGGCCCCCCTGGGGCCCAAAAGGGGCACAAAAGGTGCACGTCACGTTTCTCCCCGCCCCTTTATTAGGGTGCAGCTCCTGGGAGGTTAAATTTTGTATTGGCGCTAGGATTTCGCCGTCGATACTCGGCTCAGTTTGGGTGAATCCGGCCGAATTCGGTGGTTTAATCCCGCCCAGTCTGGTTCAATCTGGATCAATCCCGGCTTCACTCCGGCCTAATCTTGTGAAATGGCCCCTGCATCGGTCTCAATCGCCTTGAGTCGTTCCAGCGAAGACCTCGCAGAAGTTTCCCCCTGACACTTACCCCCCCCCACTCAGCAACGCCCAAATCACGCGCCTTCCCAAGTGGGCGCAGGGGCGTTGGCGCCTCGCTCGCTCTCATGGGCCACTTCTCCGCCAACTCTGCCACAGGTCGGACGAAGGAGAAGGGAGGACGGGGAGGTCCTCCCCCTCCTATTAATTTTCTTCCTTTTCCTCCTCCTCCTCCTTCTCCTCCTCCTCCTCCTCCTCCTCCCTCTCCTGCGTGTGGCGGCGGCGGTGGGAAGCCGGCCCCTCGCGCTCGCTCGCCTCACGCCGCCGCCGAGGACCAGAAGCGGCGCGCCCGGCCACTGCGCGCGTACCGCGCCGAGGCGGCGCGGGGCCCCGCCCCCGGTGGGCGCGGGAGGGGGGAAGGGCGGGGCGCCGCGCCGCCGCAGCGTCTTCCACCTGCTCCTGCTCCTTCTGATCCTGCCCCTCCCTGCTCCTCCCCCACCCCCCTCATCCCCCCTCCCTTTGCCCTCCCCCTTCCCCTGCCCCATCCCCCTCCTCCTCCTCCTCCTCCTCCTCTCTCCTCGCTCCTCCTCCTCCGCCGCCGCCGCGCAGCTGGCCTCCGGCCGTCCCGGGCGGGCCCATGGCGCCCACGGTTGATTAATCGGGGGCAAGGCTACGGGGGGCGGGCACAGGTCACCGAGCGCGTTCCACGTCCTGGCTCCGTCTTTCGGGGGCGGCGAAGAGGGGGGTGATGGCTAGGGGGGGGGGGACATCGTGGCGTTTGCCCAGGATGTTTCCTCAGGTTTCGCGGCGCCTCTTCTCACGTTAATGCATCCCCGCCCCCCCCCCTTGGGCCGCGCGCTTGCCGCCGGCCATGATTTACGACCCCCCCTCTTGGACGCCCCCCTCGTGGCCGCCCCCGATCGCCCAGTGGTCGCATGTAGGAGCCCGATAGCCCCAACCTGCCCAGGAAGGTGCGGATTCGCAATCGGAGGCCGATCCCCGATCGCTCGGCGATGTATCGCCGATTCCAGGTCGATGCATCCCCCCCTATGAGAGTCCCCCTTATCGTTGCCCCTCAGGTAATCGACGCAGGAGCATCGACTGCGCGCAAGAGTGACCCTTCGCCGGAGGGATCGCCGAGCGCGTTCCCATACGGTGGAGGCACGTGCCAAGGAACATCCTGCTTGCCTTCAGGGTGCCCTGGGTTTCTTGGGTGTCGATGGTTTTACCATGGAAAGCGTGACGTTCCCACACCAAAACCAATGGACGTCCTGGGATCTCGGGGTTGGGTTTCTTGTGGAAGGTTTTTTTGGTGGACTGGCCTCCACTGTATTCTGAAAGTACCTTCTCGCAAGCTTCCGAAAAGCACATGTTTGCCTCGGCGTAGTGGATCGCAACCCCCCCGCGGCGAATCGAGGCCATTCTGCGAGTAGTGACCTTTTCGAGTAGTGGAGCGCACTTGTCTTGCGATAGCGGCTGCGTGCGCGCTGGGATTTCGCCGCCCGGCGCCCCCTCCGTCCGCGCACGACATGCCGCTCTCGACCAGGGTCGCTCCTGACGTGCAGCCGAAAGCACGGGGTCGTGCTCCCCGACCTCCGCGCGCCAGCTGCCCCGCGTGAGGCCGCGCGTGAGCGCCCTCCCTTCCAAGGTATGCGGTGGGCCGCGCTGCCCGCCCGCGCTTTGCCGCGGCGTGAGGTCGCTGTTCCGATGGCGCACTGCACTGTTTTCAGCTCCGTCTCGGCTGGCCGCGGCAGCAGGGAGGTCGGGGGCAGACAGACCTCCTACCCTGACACGCCGATTGAGGAATTGGCCGTCTTCGGTTCGCGAGAGGGCGCCGCGGCAGTCATTTTTGCGGGTCCGGGTCCGTCGGTTTCGGTCCCAGGCCGTTTTCACGAAGGGGAGGCTTGCGACTAAAGTCAGGAGGGACAAAAAAGCACAGACACAATGTTATCCTCGGCTCCCAGGAAGAGCTGGGAGAATATGGGAAGTGGGGGGGAAGACAAACAACCAAGAAAATATGGGAAACTGTTGGGAATCCTGCGATCTGTGTGCATGTATTTGTGTGTCCCAGGGCCCCTTCCAGGAAGGGAGGCCTGCCCACCGCCGAGGAGGGGCCGCGCTGCGGCGCCAGCCGGCGCGCAGAGGGCGTGCGGAGCGGCGGCGGGCCTGAACCCCCCCCCCTGTGGCAGGGGGCAGGGCGAGCTGCGAGGGGGCGCCGCCACACAGGGAGGTCCTCGAGGCCAGACAGAGAGGGGGGCGCCGCCACACAGAGGGGGCGCCGCCACACAGGGAGGTCCTCGAGGCCAGGCGCTACGACTTGGCATCGCTCGGACGCGTGCAGTGTCCTCGGCGAGAGCCACCGAGGGCCCTCCTGGGCCATCGAGCAAAAAAGTAGGGGAACAAAAAGGGACACAAACATAACAACTCGGAGGTCCGCGCGGATTTCTCGGATCGGCGCTGGACCCCCCTCCCTGGCGCGCGGAGCGCGCCAGGGGCGGCGCCGGAGGCGCCGCGGGGGGGCCCCAGCGCCGATCCGAGAATTCCGCGCGGACCTCAGAGTTTTTATGTTTATGGCATATCTTGTTCCCCTAAACACGCACGAAACCGAAACATGCACAGGGAGTGGACGTCCGAGCGACGGCAAGACGAGCACCAATGGTTTCCACCACCAGAGCAGCGTTCTCGCCCTTTCGGGCGTCCGACTCCCCAGTTTGCACGGCAGTCGCCAGTTCCATGCTGGGAAAATTCTGTAGGAGGTGAAAGAGATACACTAGGGTGGCGATGGTGTAGGATAATGGCTTTTTCTCCTACGCAGCGCATCAGATTGTGAGTTTCAAGGGGGCTGATAGGACGGGACTAGGACGAGGATAGCTTCGTTCAGAGCTTCCTTGAACGCTCTCAGAGCGTTCCGGAACGGTCCGAGAAGGCCGCGGCGCCAGAAACATCCTCCAGAGCTGCCGGATTTGAGAGATTCTCGATGTGTCCCCACCCGATGTGATCCTCGTCTTATGATGTTCCAACCTATTTCAGGCTTGACCACCAGAAAGACCTTTGAGCACTACGACAGTACCGAAACCAGAGGGTTTTCACGTGTCGGGCCCGGGGAAGCGATATTCGTTCGACACACTGTTTTGATACTTTTCTGGGTGCTCGAGACTGTTTCTGGGACGTGGTCCTCAAGTACGAGAATGTGGTTTACGCTGTCAGTGTCGCGGCCTGGCTCGTCTGCGAGGCTGTGGCTTACTTGTCTCGCCAGCGTTGTCCCCCTCAGCCTCTCTTACCAAGCGTTGGTTCCGATATCATTTTGCACAAATACAGCGGGGGTGATGTCGGGATTGTCTGAAATCTTCAAGCATTTGGACGAGGATGGCACCTTGGTAAGGATCATACAGACGTGCGGAGATAGTGTCGGCGACCCCCCCGCGGGTTTCGGTTGTGCAGCAGAGAATATCCAAGCGATCGAGCTCCCGAATGTTGGCCGGAATGATCATTCTTTTGCTTGGGCCATAGGCCAAATGGACGGGGACTTCATGGCGCCTGTGTCGCATAATGCTCCAGTTCTCTTGCTGAAAGACAGCATGCGCGTGCATCAAATTGATACTATTGCGTGATTTTCCGGCAGTCTTGGCCGACGTGCGACACCACGGATTTGGTTGTTTTCTTAAGATGGAGTCGCCATATACGGATTTCCATTCGATTGTTGAGCTGGGTCAATTTAAATGGACCATTGTGTCGGGAGTTTGGGCTATGTTAAAAGCCGACGCAGGGCAAAGACCATTGAGCAAATGGTGGAATCATTTGGGCATTACTCTTTGGAAACGTAATGGTCTGTCCGATGGCAATGCCACGATGGTGCAGGTGTGTTATGGTGGCAACTTTGCATTGCGCATGGACAGGATTAGGGGCATGAGTTCTTCTCTTTGGCCGTGGCTGGTCGCCAGCCTTGAGCGCGGTGACAACATCGAGGAGGGCCACTATGCAGCACGCACGTGGGCTAGACTATTTTCAGAACCTGGACATCCAGTAGGATTAACCATGTGCAGTAATAACACTCACTTTTATTATTTGGGCCGCATGTGCATGACCGACTACACACAACAGCACCGACTATACCACTGACCACCAACACCGGCACCAACACAACAACAGCGACAGCAACGCAACAGTGGCATCAACACAGCAACGACTGCCGACGGCCATCAACACTGGCAGCCACGACGCCGACCGCACCGATTCGATTTTGACCGGGCTCGTGGAGTTCTTCTGTTACGCCCTCTATTTCGTCCGATTCGCACGCGTCTGGTTCCTTGCCTACTTTGTGCGCTGGTTCCTGCAGGATTTCGCCCACGACTTCTATTCGCACACGCTGTGAGGCCACGGCCCCGTGCGCCGTGCCCACAAGGGCACGGGCACTCCTGTGTGCCCGACTCCAGTGCCTTCGCTTCGCCTCGCTGTGTTGCACTACGGTAGGTTTGCGTCGTGTCGACCAGCGGCGACCCCAGCGCGGACGTTCAAGGTTGAACGCCGCCGGCGACTCAGAATCGATCGATGTTGAACGATCGGACGTTGCGGCAGCGGCCGATCGTTCAAGGTTGAACGATCCAGCGCGGTGTCAAAAACCAACGCTGGGGTCGGCACGACACGAACCTGCCGTACGTGGATTGCACCACTTCGATTGCACCACGAGGACTGCTTTGCACAGCAGGCTAGGAAAGAACAGACAAATCGAAGTCGTCAGCGCCGACGTGGGCGCGCAAATTCCCCGCGTGAGGCCCCGCGCGGGGGCCTTTGTCTCCCACGTGGCGACCCCGTAAGGTCGCCACGTGATCTCGAGCAAGACCCGTTTTTGATCGTCGTTCGCTTGCCTCCCGAAAGACAGCGCCTGAACAGCCCCAGTGCCATCACCACCCACCAATCCATCCCAACCTAACCCGAAGGCCTCAATTTGCCCTCCATTTCCAGTGGGGGGGGGGTCGGGGAAGCTTGAGAAAACACACCTGGAACCCCTTGTATCCCCACCAACCCGAAATTCGGGCCTTCGGGTTGGGTTTGGGTGGTCCTGGTAGGTAGTCATACAAGGGATCCTGCGACGTCCCATGCACGACTTCTGCATGGGGCGATGGCTTTCTAGAGATGAACTGAGCGAGGCAGGCAAAAACGGTGTCTGCGCCGGCGTTGGCGGGCAAATTGTCCGCGTAAGGTCGTGCGTGAGTGCTTTCCTCTCCAAAGTAGCGTGCCGCGCCCGCGGCCCTCGTAAGGCACCGTGTGAGGTCGCTGCGCCATCTCGCGCAAGGCTGCGACATCCCATACCTGGCTTCTGCGTGGGGCAGCGGCTTTCCAGAGATCAGCTCGCGTAGCCCCGATCGCGGTCGCCTGC